AGCCCTGCGAGTGGTACGGGTGTGATATGTTTAGCTAGTGCTTCTGGTCAGAAGAAGAATTAAGCTGTTGTTCTGCCTTTTGATCCTATGAAAGAAACTTCTGCTTTTGTGTGAGCAGAAAGGCAGCCTCTGGTTGCCTTTAGTGCGCTAGACTGAACAAACAAAAGTCACTGGTCAAGAAGGAAATGAAACAGTTTCAGTGCCTTAGATTGTTGGTAGCTGCATGAATTCCTTTCTTAATAAAAATAAGATAAAACTAACTATTTTCTTTTGCCAGGAGAAGCAGAGCACTGAGAATGATCTTTGTACCCGAGTCCAACTTTTGTGTTTGTAGTCCCTATTATGAATTTTTTCAGTAATGTTTTTTTGGAAGGTGTCACAAGTGAAACACAATGGTTCTCAAGCTCTAGATTTAGATACTTCAGACTTTCTTCAAATGCAGGTGTGGAATCCTTCAGAGATTTCTGTAAAGGTTTTATGCATAGAGGTCTTTTTGGGGGCATTGCGCTATAGCAGGTATGACTCTGCTTCTTTTAACCACCTCGTGCAGACAACCTGGTAATCTGTAAACTGTAGTAGAGCAGTGGGTTCTAAACTGTAGTTTGAAGACTCCTATGCTTTACTGTTTGCTTGCCTCTCTTTAGACATGATTTGCAAAAGGTACCGTATCTGTTAGTAAGAATTTTTTTCCACTTTGCTGTTCTGAAATACAGCGGTGGACTGGGTCGTCATTGCTTTTTATTCTTTCCAATTATTGCCTGTTATTTAGGCCTAATGCCTCCACTCTATGTGCAAGTGCAGTGATAGCACTGAAAGTTTTTTTAATTCTTTAGTCATATGAACAGCACTTATTGTAGATTCTCATTAGAGATCTTATTGTATTATCTACAGTTAAACAAAGTGGACCCTAAAAGCTGAAGGGAAATTAACTCCGATTGCAGCTAGGTTTTAAGACTTTACAAGTCACTTTATAGATGTAGGTCTTTGACCTTTTTTTTTTTTTTTATGACCAAGGTTGGTAGTGTCAGGTCTTTGAGGACTCATTAAAGTAGTTGTATAGGAAAGGAACAGTGTGATGTTGAGTATGTAATAAGAGGATGTAGAATTTACCTCTTGCCGGTCAGTGGCACATCTGGCCTGGGAAGTATAAACTGTGGTTCTGTTACTTAGGAGCTTATTGTGCTGCTGCCTGAGCAAACTAACTGTGGTGATGATTTGAGATGCTCCTGGAATACCAAGAAGTTTCTCTTCAACATCTCTGCTCTTAGATCTGTCTAGTCCAGAAATGGTCATAACCAGACCATTTTTGTGCAGACATGAATTTCATAACTGGACTTACTGTACTGTCCTTATGTAATAGGAACCTGGAAAGAGTTCAGACAGAGTACCTGATTTTGAGTTTTTTGGATGTGTGTTTGGTTGCCGGGATTTTAATCTGTTTGGTTAGTTTTTGTGGGTGGTGTCTTTTGGTGTGTTTTTTTTCGTCATGGTCACCAGACTTGCTGCTCTGCCTTCATAAGATTACCGTAAATGTATTATTGAGGGAGGAATTTGTGTGTGAGCTAGAACCTAAAGCAGCAGTTTGTTTGGAACTGCTGTAAACCTTTCATTTATGCCCATTTTCTTTAACCATGTTAAAGAAGTGAATTGATTTGGGGGAGCAGGGAGTCAGAACCAGCTGTCTGTTGTGCTTCTGTAGTAAGCTCTAATACTTAGAAAATCACAGCAAGGTGTATTGTAGTGTTCCTAATAGCTAGTGAATTTCTTTAAAAGCTTTGTCTGTCTTATCTTTCTTTCGCTGTACTTACCCTTTTCCTTTGTCACCCTGCCCTCCCCTCCTCCTGCCCAAATCTCTCCTGCCAAGAAAAGACAGCTGCTACTTCTGAAACTGACTCGCTCGTTATAGCAGCTTAAGAAATCCGCAGAATGAAAGCAAAGATTCTGGAAAGCATGAAAGTGACAAAAAAAGTTGTATGTCTTACTGCTGTTTGGGAATTCTTTGAAACTGCTTTTCGTTGTTACCTGCGAAGCAGATGCTTGCTTCCAGCTAGTAGGCTCTCAACACCATCTTGCAATACCATACCTTTTCTCTCTCTTTTCAGGGATCTCCTTCCAGCTGCCCCTGCAAATTCCCTTCTGGACGCCAGGGCAATAGAAATAGTCTAATGTTACCTCAAGAAAAAAAGGGGGTTACTATGACTGGGAAAAAAAAATAAAAAAAGGCGCTTGAAAACCCATTCTGCATTTGGACTTATAGGTAAAGGTGCCTATTTTTGTGTGCAGAATGATCCTGTGCTGCAGTGGAGAGACTGGTTGTTTATGAAGGGCAAATTGCCTGCTTTGCCTGTACAAACTTCATTGTGGTGGCTTGGGACAGCTCCCACTGAAGGGTTCTTCCCTTTGTGTTACTTGCACTGTGGAGATTCTTGGAAAAATTCCGGCTGCGGTTGTTTTTTCCCTTCAGAGGAAAAGGATGTCGATTTTTTAGATAAAAACCAATTATACGTGTTTCCAGACAGAGGGCCAAAAAAAAGGGAAACTATCCTAGATTTGTTACTTTCTCAGCAACTTGTAATTCCTGCATTAGATATTCTTCCTGCAGTGGGTGGGTGTTGCTACAATGTACCTGATAAGGTGTCCCATTGTAGCAGGTTATATTTGACCATAAGCTCTTGTAGGAGGGATGTTGTGGAAGTTGCGCTTATCACTTGATGTATAGGATTACTGTTTATGGTCTGCGAAGATGTTTTTTTGTATGGATGAGGCAAATGTTTCAGCTCAAAGTGAATTTCTGACTATGGCTGGGTTCCAAATTGTTAAAAACAAAAACACCCCCCCAAAAAAAAAAAACAAACCCCTCACAAAAACCAACGAAAACAGCAACAAAAAATCCCCAAACCACCATCCAGAATCAGAAGCAAACAAACAAAAAACCACCCAAAGCCAACTGACCAAAAAACCTCAATACATGGTTCCCTGGGGAGCCTGTTCAAAGTTTAAGGTAGTGGGAATAAGCATTTTGGACAAATTCACCTCACAGATGTGAGAAAAGGCAACTTGAAAATTGAGACAGAAATTGCAAGTTTAATTTAAAATAAAAAAAACACAAAAAAAAACAACAAAGAAAAGGGCACTCTGAAAACATGGAGGCACTTCAGAAATACTGCATCAGGAGTGTAGTTTCACTGCTGTAATTCAAAAATAAAATGATGTGCCACTCTAGAGAAGTAGAAAAAAGGTTGACACATCAGGAAATAAGAATAAATCATGAAAACTTGGAGATTGTGGGAGGTCAGATGTGAATGGGATATTCAGAGGAATAAAAAAAAAATCTGAGTGTACTGCCGAGGTCACTCAAGCTGACAGTGAGAAGTTTTAAAATACAGTAAAAGCAGAAAGTCTGCAAGGAAGTCAGTGAGACCATTGGATGTTGAAGGAGCGCTTGGGAATGATGAAAGCCGTAGCGAGGAAAGTCAGAAGGTTCTTAGAATTTTGCTAGCTTTGCTCTGCATGCCTATGTCAAAATTGCTTGGTGTCACTGTTACCTGTGTGCTTCCACAACCTTTTTATTTGCTCTATGGAAGCTGTATAAAGCAAGTAAGAGTGGGGCTAGACGCTAGGCAATAGAAATGGAATTTGATCAAAACTGTCCTGGGTCCCGTTAGTGTAAAAAAAGAGATGGGGAATATCAGTCCACTGAAATGTGCTGCCTTGGGAAGGAGGGGAAAGGGGGATGATGGTGTTGCTTCTCAGAGACTTACCTGCTTTAAACTGAATTCAGCTAATTCTGTCCTGCTTCCTGTGGGAGATGCTGAGTTACAAAGAAGGGACATTAATTTTGGAATGTTTTAAAACTGTGCTGAAAATCCTGAGGGGCAACACAGCTGCTATGTATCTAGAACTGTTTTTATTTTTCCATACATGTGCTGCTTAAACTGTCATTTAGATCCTGGCCTCCTCAAACGTTTGCCTTAAGGAACTGAATTTTTTTTTCCTTCATTCTAAAAATCTAGGCTGATGTACAGCTTTGAACCTCCCTAAGCAATCTGTTAAGTATGCTGGGTGTGGAGCTGTTTGTCTTGCAGTTTCTTCGACTTGAGTTTGTTGCACTAGGTATTTTTTTGGATGACTTCTGTAACTGTGTGAAACATTAAGAAACTCACTAAAATTACCAAGTGCTACGTAGGAAACCTTTCTTTTTGCAGTCCTAGCATTTAACTACCTTATGTCTGTAGCAACTTTTGTAATGTACTGTTGAGTTGCGTTAGCGCAATGTTCACTGTTGCTACAGGCTGCTTTGCTGTGGGGTTACATGCTAGTTCTGTTTGTTTAGGGAAGAGCGAAAATCCCACTGGGGCTTTTTGAGTACTAGCAGTGCGTGCGTCTTTAATCACTAGAGCTAAAATGTTTACCAACTAGCATGAAAGCTCTCATAGTTTCTTTAGGGTGCTTGGAAGGAACGATTCAGTAAACACAATTTAGTTGTTAATAGATGGCAAACTGTCTAGCTATTTGGGTCTCTAAACACATTATTTTCATACTTCTAGTTTAGGAATAGTCTGATTATATTGTGTCATAATGTTTGACACCAGACTGAAGGTGAAGTTTCCTTTAGGAGTTTCTATTCAGGGAAAGAACAATTCTTAAACACTTGCAGTTGCTTAATTAAGTGGTGGCTTTATACAAGTTCTGAATTGGCTAATAAAGCAAAATTTGAAAATACCAGCTTAGATTTGCAAGGAAGAAAGAGTAACTGGGATATCTTTGTCTTTAGACAGTACTGTTACTTAGACTTGTGAAACTGTTAAGTTATATTCAATTGCTTGGTTCTTGGTTGAGGGTAGGTTATTTCTGTAGCTGATGCAGGAAGCTGTCTGTGTAGCAAAAAGAAACATACACTTTAGAATGGGTAAACCTATTTGTAAAATTCAAGTTGCAGAACTTTTACCAATCTCTTCTGATAAAGTCAAGACTATTATCTGTGTTCTTTTAACAGGTGGTGTTTCACAAAATGTCTCCTAATGAGACTCTGTTCTTGGAAAGTACCAATAAGATCTACAAAGACGATATTTCAAACAGTTCATTTGTGAATTTCCAAATATGGGATTTTCCTGGACAGATGGACTTTTTTGATCCTACATTTGATTATGAGATGATCTTCAGAGGAACAGGTGCTCTAATATATGTTATTGATGCCCAGGTAAATACCAATTGCTAAGAATTGCAAGGAAGATTTCTTTTTGCTTTGTGTGTAAGAGAACTGAGAAGCTAATACCATGTATTTTATCAACAGATCAATATCAATAGATCACTCAATAGACTGAGAAACTAATAACTTATTTTTTAGATTAGTTTGTAAAATGTTTTCTATTATGAATGGTTGCGTTGGCAATCTAAACTTTGGGGTGTGATTTTTAGTTTTGTGAAGTAACTGGAACGTATGTTTATGGTGGAGGGAGTTGAAAGGGGCGAGTACTCTGAACTTACATTTTCCGCAGCGATAGCGAGAACCTGCTGTGCTGGGTGGTCTGATTTATTCCTTCTGTCTGCTGTTGACTGGTATGGAGTTCATTTAATAACAGCACACTTCTGTCCTCAAGTACTGGTACTATTGGGTATTTGGTAGCTCCTTAGGAATTGCACTGCAGGAGATTACCTGGTTATTAGGACCATCTGGGAGATCACTGATGCCTTTTGCTGGAGCTGAAGCTTAACCTGCCTTTTGCTCGGAAGCCTGGTTTTGTGTAGCCGAACCTTGTATAGCTAATGCAACTTAATTTACGTAGCAGAATCTAAGATACTTGTATTTCTGACACTGCAAGGTATTATCTTCTCCCATACTTCAGTTATAGAAGTGAAGTTCTTGCGTGGAAATGTTTTGTCCGTGTCATTCATTCATG